TTTTGGTTTTTTGAGGCAGAGTTTCTCTCTGTAGCTCTGGCTGTCCTGGAACTCACCCTGTAGACCAGGCTGGTCTTGAACTCAGAGATGTGCCTGTCTCTGCCTCCCAAGTGCTGGGATTAAAGGTGCATGCCACCACCACCACCCAGCTCATGCAGTCTTTCTGAAACACTGACCTGAAATATGTCCCTTTTTGTTTAGAATTAATGATTATTTTAGCTGGAAAAAAATTTTTTTTCTGTGCTATGTTCTTAGAATACTAAATAAACTAAGTTAACATGTTTCATATTTTAAGAATTATAAATCACGAATGGGACAACACTTGACTACTACTGAGTTCTGGATGAATTTAGGCTCCTGTTACTTGAATTAAAAATTTCTCTACTTTCTGTTTTAAGATAAGTTTTGCTATGTAGCCCAGGCTGGCCTCAAGCTTATTCTACCTGGCCTCTGGAACGCTGGACTTGTAGACATGCCCCACTTGTTCTAAAATGATGACTGTTGGGTGCATCTATGATTTAATGCTCCTTCCGATTTCAAAATGTGATGTCATCTCCAAGAAAACTTTTGACTATATCAAGAAACCCTGTCTTGAAAAACCAAAAAAAAAAAAAAAAGAAAGAAAGAAAGAAAGAAAACTTTTGAATCTTTCATTTCTAATCAGCTTAGGAACCCCTCTCCAACCACCAACAAACTTAGTGTACTTCCTTTGTTAGAAGACATTGTTTTATTTGCTTTTGTTTTGCTTTACTGAGATTAATCCCAGGGCTTCATGCATACTAGGCACATGTTCTATCCTACCACTGAGCAGATGCCCAGAATCTAAATACATTTGCTTCCTCAGCAGGCTTTCAGTCTTTGCACCATCCTTCCTCTTTCTGGTTTCTGATTTCTTTGGCTCATTAATATGTGTTATATACTGCTACGACCTCCATAGTTTTGACCTGAGTGGGGCAACAGGGAATGAAGAAATGACAAACACACATACAGAAAAGCTGAGACCAGGTGGGTCATGCACTATGTGATGGAGGTGTACTAATAGCTGGGAAGCTCAATGGGTTTGTTATACACAGCTGAACTAGGAGGCTGGCCAGCTCATCTCAGCAGGGGAGGGCAGTCTCAGACCCAATCATCATCAGTAATCTAGGATGAAGCTGTGGTTGATACTTTGTGCTCACACTATCTTGAGGGGCTTGCCAAAATCTGACTGAGGGAAGAAGGCCTTTTCATTTCTGTGGCTGAAGTATTGTAGTTCTTGACATAGCCATGCTCATATCAACAATACACATTTACTCGGGTCGTCAGCATTCCTACAATATACAATGGGGAAAATGAGGTTTTTAAAAGTCCATCTTGTTGCTTAGAGTTCTTATAAGGATAGGCTTATAGACTGTTTCAAAAATACTATCACTGGAGCTAGCTAGAGAGATGGCTCAGCAGTTAAGAGCACTGGCTGCTCTACCAGAAGACCTGAATTTGATTTCCAGCACCCACATGGCACCTCACAACCATTCGTACATCCAGTTCCAGAAGATCTGACACCCTCTACTGGCTTTGCTGGCACCAGGCATGCAAGTGGTATGCAGACATACATACATACAGGCAAAATTACCACATAAAATAAAAGATAATAATTTAAAATATATATTATCAGATAGCCTGGCAGACAACACCTTTAATCCCATTACTCAGGAGGCAGTGGCAGGTGAATCTCTGAGTTCAAGGCCAGACTGGCATATGTAGGTCCAGGACAGTCAAGGCTGTGTAGACAGATCCTATCTCAAAAATAAATAAATAAAATTACCAGCTATTAAATTTTGTTTTGCCTGTATTTCTTTTTTATTTAATATTTATTATTATGATGATGTTTTTATGTGTTTTGCCTGCATGTATGTATGTGCAAAGGTATCGGATCTCCTGGAACTGGAGATACAGATAGGTCTGAGGTGGTGCTGGGAATTGAACTGGGTCCTCTGTAGAGCAGCCAGTGCTCTACACCTCTGCGCTCTCTCTCTGGCCCTTACTTGTATTTCTTACACAAGTTTCATCTTACTAAAATTATGTTGACTTCCTAGTTGAAGGAACACCTTACGAAATGTTTGACCCCAGGCTAATATAGAACTACTGTGAGGTGATCCTTATACCTTAGCTTTCCTAGTGTCAGGATTACTTGAACAATTATACTGCTTGAAATTTATGGAAGGTCTAAAATGAAATTTATGGAGCTGGGTGGTGGTAGCGCACATGTTTAATTCTAGCACTTGGTTGGCAGAGGCAGGGGAACTGCTGAGTTACACAGAAACAGAGAAGAAAAAGAAAGACAGAAATTTGTGGAAAGTGGAATGGCTTAATTGAGGGAAAACAGTCCCTTTTTGGAGCTAAACATAATCTAAGGGTGACAGTGGACACCTCAAGTACTCTTCCAAGCCAGTTAAACTCAATGTCATATAGTAGTCAGACAACTTAGAGGTGACATATAGGTAAGGGGCATAGTGCCAGGAAAATACAGAGCCTGCTGTTCTTATCTCTTCAGTCATGTTCAATGTCAACTCCATATTGGCTTCAGAGCCTATTATAAACATTTGATTTTCCTATTAATAATAAGCAACAAAGCAGAAAAAGAAAAACAACTGCTGTTGGCATTTTGATGGCCTTCTAAATATATGTATATAGCATATGCTTCTATATAAATAAAATCACACCGCCCACCTTAATGCCCTCATTTTACTCAGTGTGTAATAGGCATGTCTGCAAATGTAAGTAATCAGTAAAGTTTTAAAGTCTTAGAGTGTAATTTCCCTGGCTAAGCAATTACCTTTTAAAAATTGTGCTAAGGAAATAAAGAGGATTTACAAAGACATATTATGAACCAGCAGTAGATCATAGGATATCAAGTAAAGAGTAACAATTTTGCTCAGACTTTGTGTTTGTGTACACAGGTGCATGAAAATTATCAAAGGATATTACAATTCTATATCTAGAAAAAGAAGTTTCAAGTAGTCTTATTTTTGCTGGTGTGTGTGTGTGTGTGTGTGTGTGTGTGTGTGTGTGTGTGTGTGTTTTTGTGTGTTGGGTTTTTTGAGACAGAGTCTCATTATGTAACACTGACTGACCTAGCTGGTCTCGAACTCACAAAGATCCACCTGCTACAACCTGCTGGGTTCTGGGACCTCCTGGGTTCTGGGTGTGTGCCACTGTGCCCAGCCTCAGATAGTTTGAAATTTTGTTCCTTTTTGCTGAGTGGTTGGTTGGTTTGTTGTTTTTTGAGTTGGTTTGGTTTGGTTTTTGCTTTCCTCGAAAACTTAGGTAAATTATATTGTTTTGTTTGTTTTTAAAGACTTATTTATTTATTTATTTATTTATTTATTTATTTATTTATTTATTATGTAGTGCGTTGTCTGCATGTATGCATGCATGTATGTCTGCAGGCCAGAAGAGGGTGCCAGATCTCATTACAGAATGTTGTAAGCCACCATATGGTTGCTGGAAATTGATTGCAGGGCCTCTGGAATAACAGCCAGTGCTCTTAACCACTGACCCATCTCTTCAGTCCCAATTGTATCGTTTTTAAAGCGTTTTGAGGCCAAGACTAATAAAAAAAAAAATGTAAACTGATTTTTGTTGATACTGAGGACATTACATTGTAGTCTTTAACCATAGAATACTCAGAGCAGTTTATTTCTTGGTGGATGGTGTCCTAATGTGCAATTGTTAAATAAATGTGTGGTTTTTATGTTGTCTCTCCAGAAACGTGTTTAGATAGTGTCTAGTCTTTGAAGTTTAATTCTTTGATTCTTCTGGATGTTATTACCAGAGGACCATTTTTAATTTTAGTTTGGGATAGCTTTTTCTTTTCTTTTTTTTTTTTTCCTTCACCGAAGCAGTGTTTTGCTGTGTGCTGAGACTAGTCTCTGGGGCTATGTGGCTCAGACTGGCCTTTAACTCCCAAGCCTCCTTCCTTGGCCTCCTGAGTGCTGAGATTACAGGCATCCACAACCATGCCAGGTTCAGTCTTTGTTATAGCAAGCATTATAATTGTGGATTTTGGATTTTTTTTTTTAGGTTTGTTTTGTTTCTTCATTGTTCAATATAAATTCTTAAGAATAAGTATTAAAGCCGGGATGGTGGCACACACCTTTAATCTATGGCACTCAAGGCAAAGGCAGGGGGATCTCTGACTTTGAGACCAACTAAGACTACGAAAAAGAAGAGAACAGAGGAGAGAAGGAAGCAAAGATTAAGGGCCAGTGAGATACCTTAGTAGAGGCCTGATACACTTGAGTTTTGATCTATAGTTCCCACAAGATGACAGAAGAGAACCTGCTGAGAGTTGTTCTCTCATCTCCACACTTGTGCCATAGCACACATCTACGTGTCCTTACACACACACACACACACACACACACAATAATAATAATAATAATAATAATAATAATAATAATAATAAAGATACAGACTAGGAGATTGTCTTACAATGTCTTATCCCATATTAGAGGCCCCAGAGCATTTTTGGCAACCCACTCCAATAAAAAGAGTTATTTTAGGCAACTTAATAAAAGTATTCCTTTTATTTGGGATCCCAGTAAAATGAGTAATAGTTTTTTCAGTATTATAGGGAAAAGTAGTTATCTGGTTGAGGTTATGGTTGTGTCTGAAGGCCATTGTTACAAGTGGTGCTGGGGCCTTAGCACACCTGAGGCAAGTACTCTTCACTGAGCAATCCCTCAAAAATTTCAATTTGTGAGTAGACACTGAAAATGACATGAAGGTTAATGAGGTTGTTTACAAAGTTACATTAGCTGGGCGGTGGTGGCTCATGCCTTTAATCTCAGCACTTGGGAGGCAGAGGCAGGCAGATCTTTGTGAGTTCGAGGCCGGCCTGGTCTACAGAGCAAGATCCAGGAAAGGTGCAAAGCTACACAGAGAAAACCTGTCTTGGAAAACAAAAAACAAAAAAACAAAGTCACATTAATATGTGTACATCTTGTTCCTCACATCAGTCCTTGGCATCATGAACTGGAATAAAGGTGGCCCTGGAACTAAGCGGGGATTTGGCTTTGGCGGTTTTGCCATCAGTGCTGGGAAAAAGGAGGAAGCCAAGCTACCACAGCAGTCCCACAGTGCCTTTGGGGCATCCAGCTCGTCCTCGGGATTCGGAAAGTCTGCTCCACCGCAGCTTCCCTCTTTCTACAAGATTGGATCTAAACGGGCCAACTTTGATGAAGAAAATGCGTAAGTGATCGTTCTTGGTGATTGAATTGAACTGATGAGAATTATTCATTCCTTCAGCAGAAATTGAAGCAAAGAAATACTGCTTCCCAAATAATAGTAATAACTTCCAGGATTGGGGTTCTTCCCTCCCCTACCCCAACCCCTGCTGAATTGCTTGCTTTATTGTCAAATTTGCTTACTTTAAGGAATACAGTATTTGTATGTTTGCTTATATCGTTATTCCATGAATGATGCTTTCTTCCTGGTTAGTGTACTTATCACTCAACACTAGTTAACATAATGAACATACAATTTTGGTGTTTGAGTCAACTGAAGCTTAAAACCTACTGAAGAGTTTTATATAATTCGTGGGGAGTTTGGTGTGTTTGTTTCAAACCCAGCTGAGAAGTCTGAACAGTATAACACACCACAATGAAAGTTTGTGTTAGATGAAGGCTCCAGTCTCTATATTAGTCACTTTACTGGTCTTTGTTTTAATTTTCAGGTATTTTGAAGATGAAGAAGAAGATTCCAGCAATGTAGATTTACCTTACATTCCTGCTGAAAACTCACCTACCCGCCAGCAGTTCCATTCTAAGCCCGCGGATTCTGACAGCGATGATGATCCCTTGGAAGCATTTATGGCTGAAGTAGAGGCAAGTATCAGCTCTTGATTCATTAAAATATTGAGCAAATTAGGGCTGGAGAGATGGCTCAGAGGTCAAGAGCACTGACTGATCTTCCAGAGGTCCTGAGTTCAATTCCCAGCAACCACATGGTGGCTCACAACCATCTGTAATGAGATCTGGTGCCCTCTTCTGGCCTGCAGTCATACATGCTGTATACATAATAAATAAATACATCTTTTAAAAAAAAATATTGAGCAAATTAAATAGTTAACAGATTTTTTTTCTGGTCTTTTTGTTTTGGCTTTTGTTTTTTTGTGTTTTTTTTTGTTTGTTTGTTTTGTTTTGTTTTTTCCTTTGTTTCAGAGGTAATCAGTAGTAATTGGCAGGAAGAGTAAATTATAACATTTGAACATAGTTACTCAAATATATGTTTTGTTGTAATAATCTTAGTATATTCCTAAGTAGAATACTGTTTTGTGGACTCTAGCATTTATTAAATCCATACTTCCTAAGGAAGCTAAATCTAAAGAACTCCGTACATAAAATTAGAAATTCTGTATTCTGCAGTTTTGTCCTTTCCTGTTTATCAGCATTATCAACATTCATAACTTCTCTATAGAAATTGAAATCATGACTGCCTTCTTAAAATGTCTTAGGGTGTCTGGTTTTTTCATTTTCTCATTTTCTTCTCATCTCTGACATTTTACTTTCTATATGTTTAAAGTATGGGAAACTTCAAATATATAAAAGTAGAATAAGAGAATGAACTCCTGTATTGATTTGACAACACCATTCACTCCATACCTGAGGAAAGCCAGTTCAGGGGAGAAAGGCCTGTTTGACTCACAGTTTCACAGGAGTCACTTCCTTGTCATGGGGAAGGCATTGTGAAGCAGAACAATTCACATCTGGATGTCCAGGAAGCAGAGAGATAGGAAGATGCCAGAAACAAGACAACCATGTGGTCTACCACCTCAGGTTTCCAGAGCTTCCTATGTAGAGCCACCAGCTAGTCACTAAACCCAACATAGGACCCTTTTTAGGAACACTTCATATCTAAATCGTATCTTCATGTGTCCTTTGCCCAACTTTTATCAACCATGGAACCGTTGACACCTGTTCTTTTACAGACTCCTGAATAGCAAGCATCATAGCACCATGACAGCTCATCTCATAAGACCCGTGCTCAAGGAATGTATGCAGTTTTTCTTACCCTGGCTTCATTCATTGATTGCTAGCTTATCACCTGTTAGGTATTTAGATTTCTCACTTTTGATTTAAACCAACTTACATGTCTAAAGAATATAATAGGTAGCTAACCTAGAATTCACCTCTACTCCCCATATTCTTTATGTCTCTGAGTTCTACTTTAGGGGCTTTTTGTTTGTTTTGAGACAAGGTCTTTTTTTGTAATCCTTGCTGTCCTGGAGCTCACTATGTAGACCATACTGGCTTTGAATTCATTCCTGCCTCTAACTTATGTATTTTGCAAATTACAAACCATTGAAGACATTTACCAAAACTTTCTCAAATTATTCAGGAAATGCATGTGTCTTGCTTGCAAGATAGTAGGTATTGAATAAACAATGTTAAGTAATTCACTTTAAAAATGAAAGATTATGTAGTGTTTGAGATAGCTTATATACTTTTTTTTTTTTTCCATGCTCTTCAGATAGGAACATATCCTACAGGGCAGTATATCTCAGAAAAAAATCTCATTCATTCATTTTTTAAAAAATATTTATCTGTTTATTTTATATATTTGAATATATGCTTTGTATTCATGTACACCTGCACACCAGAAGAGGGTAGGTTATCATTATAGATGGTTGTAAACCACCATGTGGTTGCTGGGAATTGAACTCAGGACCTCTGGAAGAGCAGAGTAGCCAGTGCTCTTAACTACTGAGCCATCTCTTCAGCCCTTTTATTTCTTGATAATCCTACTGATGAATTATAAGAAAAATCAGCCCTTAGTTTTGTTGTTGTTTTAGGTTTAAATTTAGATTTAATTTATAGTTTTGTAAGCTGATAGGGCTCTTTTTGAATGAATTACCGAGAAAGGCCAGATTCTCTTGTTTGACATTTAAATAGTTGAAGTTCTTTGGAGGTTAAATCTTTTGAGTACACTAACATGCTCCTAGATGTTGTTGGTAAAGTATTAGGAGATTTATTTAGCTAAGAACAGAGAGATCAGTTGTCAGATTTTGAAAGGTGTGTCTAATACGAATTCCTAGTGTCAAATGCGTACTTCTATAATGTATGAACTTTTCTAGGACTTGAATTTAATGAAGGTTTATTTTTAGACAGTGTTCTAAAGAAAGATTTACATAGGCTTAGAGGAATACATGGGGCTGGAGAGATGGCTCAATGGGGAAGAGCACATACTAGTTTTCAGAGGACTTGGGTTAAACTCCTAGCACTCACATGGCAGCTCTGAACTGTCTATAACTCCAGTTCCAAGAAATCTGATATCCGTATCTGCCCTCCATGTGTACCAGGCACACCACAGCATGTATACTCACATACATGTAGGAAAAACATTTATACACATAAAATAATATATAAATATAATAATAATAATAAATCTTTAAAAAGAATAAGCAAGATATGGTGGTACAGGCCTTTAATCCCAACATTCAGGAGGCAGAGGCAGATGGATCTCTGAGTTTGAGGCCAGTCTGGTCTACAGAGTTCTGAGACAACCCCTGGCTACACAGAGAAACTCTGTCTCAAAAAAACAAACAAACAGAAACAATGTATTCTGCAATAGTAATCATTTGCTTCATATGTAATGACATCCTTGGTGTCCTGTTCAATTTATAGCCCTAGCCTTGTCTCTAGCAACCCAGTTCCTTGAAAAGTAGTAGTATGTGATGTTTCTTTTAAAAATAATTCCTCTTTGATGGAAACATTTGATTTGTAGAACAGCTGATTGTACCATGGTATGTATAGTGACTTTTTCTTTCTTTCTTTTTTTAAGATAAAAGTGCTGGAGAGATCCCTCAACATTATGAGAGCATTGTCTTCTCTTCCAGAGTACTGTCTGGGTTTGATCCCCAGTACTTAGATAGCAGCTACCATTCTTTTACTCCAGTATCAGGGGATCTAATGCCACCTTCAGCCTCTGCAAGCATTCTACACACATGATACACAAACATACATGCAGGCAAAACATACACACACATAAAATTAAGTTAAAAAAGAAAAATGGAAAAACATTTTCTTTATGATGAAAGGCTTTGGGAAAAAATAATTCTTCAGCATTAATTTCCAAATAGAAAACAAAGGATCAGTTTAGATCAGTGATTTGTCATTGTCATTTTTGAAATGTATAAGATTTGCCTATGGAAAACATAACTATACATGTTTAATTCCACCCCAAAGATTTTAACTTAGTAGTTTTTATAGCACATTTTTCAACCTTACTCATATTTATGATGATAATTTTTACTATAGGGGTTTTGTTTTGTTTTTGAGAGACAGTCTCTTTATATACCCCTGGCTGTCCTGGAAATCACTATGTAAACCAAGTTGGCCTCGAACTCACAGAGATCCACCAACCTCTGTCTCCCAAGTGCTGGGATTAAAGGTGTATGCCACTATACCTGGCTTTAGGGCTGAATTGTTGGAAAATGTTTAGAAGCGTTTCTAACCTCTGCCAGCCTGTATAAATAACTATTCTTATCCATCCCACCTCACTCTCAGTTTGAGAAAACAAAAATGCCAGACTTAGGGAGGCAGGATCATTGTAGCACCAAGTTTGGTAGCATAGCCTATAAGTCTAGCACTTGTAGCACTAGACAGGCTGAAGCAGGAGCATCACTAGGTGGAGGCTAGCCTAGGCTACATAGGAAGACTTTGCCTCAGAAAGACCTTAAGAAAAAAAAAAAGGAGAAGGGGAGAATCACTCCTAATTTCAGAGCCATTCTTCCAAAATAAGAGCTAGAACTCAATATACTTGCCCCTCCTTTGGTTTTTGTCTGTTTGGTATTTTTGGGTTCCTTTTTTCTGATATAAATGGTATCAAGCTACACTTAGGGAAAGGTTGATTTGCTCAAATTTAAGGACATCTGTAGCCAGTTATTTCCTTTTCTAAAAAATTACCAAAGACTATTGGTGGTAAGTTAGACATTTCCCGTTTCCTGGACAATTATTAATATTATTAATATTAATATTAATAAATATACAAATAAATGTGCATTTATATGTATATGTATGGTATGTGTTACAGTAAACAATTGTGAAATCCATGTATAGCAAAAGACGTTTTTATATTTGTCTTTGCAAAGTACTTGTCAAAGCTTCCTGAAAGATTATATGAAAATGCAAGTGACAAAACACATAATTAAAACTGAACATTTTTCAGTGTATAAATCGTTCATAATGAAATTTCTCTTTCAGTGTTTTAAATTATATGATTTCACATAGCCTTCTGTTTCCTTAGGATCAGGCGGCTAGAGACATGAAGAGACTTGAAGAAAAGGACAAGGAAAGAAAAAACGTAAAGTAAGTTGTTTTCTTCACTTTCACAAAAGTTACATAGAAATTGTTGAAGTATGGAAAAGACTATTCTAAAGAATTTATAAAGGAAAGAATATTAAAGTACACAAATATCTTTACTTGAGATATCTCTGTATCTTGAGTGTTTCTCTGGGTATGAAGGTGGCAGAGTCTTTGCACTTGTAAAAACTAAAAGGCATTCTATTTGGTAGAATAGTGTTTGGTTATAAATAATTGTCCAGGAAACGGGAAATGAATTATAGTGAGGATAAAGGAAATATAGTTACTAAAGTTTGGGTTTATTGTCTTGGATTTCACCTCATAATAATATTAAATAGACTAATGCCTGTGCGATCAGTTTTTAGAAGTTTTGATTATATAATAAGACCATATGAAAATTAGGAATAAAGCCTAATTTCATCTAAAGAGTGAACTTATTCTTTAGCAACCAAACCCTGAAACTTGAATGCTTTTTTTCTGGAGAAGAAATCTTTTTCCTTTGCTGCATACACTCCTAAAACCTTTTTGCCAGACATGTTTGGAACTTTTTCTCTCTTTGCTTGGCAGTCAGTCCTGCCCAGGCCCCTCCCAAGGTTTCTGTGCCAAGTGGAGAGTCAGCCATCTTTTGGTGCTTGCTCTGTTGCTGTCTTCTAGCTTCTCTATGCTGTAGTGTTGTGTGCAGGCTGCCTTAGGAATAGCAAATGCTCTAAGGTAGGTAGACAGTCTGACTTGAGAGATGGCTGTGGGAAGTAAGCAATAATACTGTATGCAGTAGACTAAGAGATGCAGCAGGTGGCAGTGGTTCCATTCCCCACATGAAATAGTTTTTCTTTCTCCCCCTATATCCAGGGTACCTGATTTTTACTGAGAGCAATTATTCTAGAGCTAGAAGCTGCAGGAACAATAAAGTTGTGATTTTTTTTTAACTGTATACTAAATCCAGGAGGGATTTTTTCTTTTTAATATGTGATACTTTACACAACTGTGTTAATGTTTGTCATATTGATAAAACTTAGTCTTCTTTGGTACCTGTCTTCACAAAGAAAGGTTTTGCTTCTTACAGTAGTTAGTAACTGATGTTTCTAGGGGTACCATCATCTCATTGAAAAAAGAGGGAAAGTTTAGCTCATGGAGTTCAGGCACACATATATTTTGGGTGGATCATTTATAGTATGCTTATTGCTGCTTTGTTCTCGTTAGTGTTGAGAGTTCCTATGCTGTTTGGAATTCAACACTAATCTGCTGTAAGTATGGAGCTGGGTATGTGGAACATTTGCAGGGAAGTTTGTTTCTCCGCTTGTTTTTCCAGGGGTATTCGAGATGACATTGAAGAAGAAGATGACCAAGTGAGTTCCTATGCAGTATTTCTATCTTTTATTTTTACCCCACAAAGTCTATACTGGGGACAGGCTAGAGCTTGCCTTCACTAAATGACTTGCTCCTTTTCTACCTTTGTGACCTGTTAGTAAGATATTCATATAGCTTTCCCCCATGTTGAAGGTGGAATTTTTGATCAACTGATATTTTTAAAAAAATGAACTTTTATTTTTTTTTTCATCCAAATTTTAAGTTTACTGGGATAAAAAGTAATAGAGTGGTATGGGGTCTGTTGCTGTCCTTTGCCTCTTTCCAGTAGTAGTTTGTGATTCTTAGAATTTAGATGGAACATCAGTAACGGTCCATTAGTATTTTCTTTTTCCATTGTTTAGTTGTGTGAGATGGTGAGACCCATAGATCTCTCCAGGTTTGTGACCTCTCTAATCAGTGTCAACTTCCAAACTTGGATTGGTATAAAGCCAAAGCATGTGTTCTTCAGCTCTGGGCAAGGTAGTGACATGTCCCCACAAACAGGAAGGCTTTTATTTAATAAGTCAAATCATTGTGTAATACTAATTGTCTTACTCATTGATTCTGAGTACTGCTATTGTAAAAGAAATCACTGCTAGTGAAAGTCTATCCTTACTGGATAGGTATTTGTTTAAACTATGCAATCTTACGGTACACTTTGTGTGCACTAACAACAGAAGTAGAAATGTTTTTCCTTGTGTTTGAATTTGATTATGTTCTTGTGCTTTCCTGCAGGAAGCTTACTTTCGATACATGGCAGAAAACCCAACTGCTGGGGTGGTTCAGGAGGAGGAGGAAGACAATCTGGAATATGATAGTGATGGAAATCCAATTGCACCCTCCAAAAAAATTATTGATCCTCTTCCTCCCATTGATCATTCAGAGGTATTAGATTTCTTTCTTTGTTTCAAACTGATACAGTTTCATAGTTTGGGATCTTAGTTTCTGCTAAGTGGTTGGATCAGAAGTTCTATGAGACGTTCATAGCCTATAAACTAGCTTACTATAATCTCAATACTTACAAGGTGGAAGCAGGAGGAGAGTCAAAAGTTTGAGGTTAGCCTAGGCCGTATAGTGAGTTGCAGCTCAGCTTTGGTTACTGAATGAGACTCTTTCAAAACCAAAAGGTGCTGGACAGTGGCGGCACACATCTTTAATCCCAGCACTCAGGAGACAGAGGCAGGCATATCTCTGTGAGTCCAAAGCCAGCCTGGAATACAGAGAGTTCCAGGACAGCCAAGGCTACACCAAGAAACCCTATCTCTAAAAACAAACAAACAAATCCAAAAGGGCTTATTGTAAACAGTTTCATGCTATAAAAAGAAAATTTGGGACTGGAGATCTAACTCAGTTGGAGAGTGCTTTGCCTACTATACACAAGCCTGCTGTTTAATCCCCAGCGTTTATTTCATGAAACTATTAGTGGTGCAGGCCTCTAATCCCAGCACTGTAAAGCCGGCCTTTGCTACGCATTGAGACACTCTCTCAAAAGACAATCAAAATAGGCTTGGCCATTAATTTTAATAAGTTATGTGAACAATTCATGGTTTTAAAGATTTCATTTTGTAACTGGAGTAGTGACTGGGCAGTTAAGAGTGCTTGCTGCTCTTCAGAGGACCTGAGTGTGGTTCATAGCACCCACATCTACATCAGGAAGCTCACAACCATTTATAACTCCAGTTCTAAGGAATCTGGTGTCCTCTTCTAGCCTCCTCAGTCATCTGCACATATGTGACATACACTCACAGACATGTATATATAATAATAAATATTTTTTAGTAGTTTTTAATGATGTATTTTGTGGTAGGAATGTGTGCACATGAGTACAGTATCCCAGGAGGGGCCAGAAGAGGGTGGTGGGGTCTGACCTCTCTGGAGCTGGCGTTAAAAGCAGTTATGAGCTGCCCAAGGTGGATGCTGGAAAGTGAACATGGATCCTCTGCAAGAGCACCATACGAAGTCATTTGTCCAGCCCTAACATGGAGTTAAAAAAAACAAACAAGCCGGGCGGTGGTGGCGCACGCCTTTAATCCCAGCACTCGGGAGGCAGAGCCAGGCGGATCTCTGTGAGTTCGAGGCCAGCCTGGGCTACCAAT